CCCCCCGCCCCCCGAGGACATGGTAACCTCTGACCCTTATAGACTGGCCCTCCCTATGGGGGGGTGAGGGTGAGGTCAGGGCGGCGGGGCACTTAGGCACTTAGGCGTCCGAAAGAGCCGCCGCTTTTCGCTGATGACCACGTCCATGACGGTCCCAGGAATGAGGCGGATATCATACTGGGTCACAGTTTTCGAATCATAACACCCTCTCGAAACATGGCACCCTGTTTTCATGAGCGCTGGCGGACAAGATGCCGTTTTCTTTCTTTCCGTTTTCTTTCCAATTCCTTTTATTTTCTACTGTCACCAAAGACTGTTCATTCCACTGGGGGGGGCCTTTTTTTGTTTTTTTTTCCTGTGGTGGGGACCCGCCATGGTCAGAGGCAGTCGAATACACAAGCAATACTATGTTGAGAAAGGCAGTCACTTGAACACTATGTCATGTTTTTTTTTGGTGTTTTGTTTTTTTTTCTTTTCACTCTCGTCTACGTCTGCGTCCCCTTAAAAAAAAACTGTGATTGAGTCTTTCGTTTTGTTGTATTTAGTATCACATCGAGGAGTTATTATAAAAAAAATCTTATACACCGATGCTTAATGTTTACTAAAAGAAGAAAAAATAATGGTTATAGGAGCGGAAAAAAATACTTGCATTATCGAAGGCCTGGTAAATCTTATGTGATTCTCATAATTAGATCTTGCGTCGGGAGCAAAGTAATCTTATATTATTTCTTCTTTCTGTTCTATTTCCTTTTTTTTTCTCTTTATTCACAGTTCTAAATTCTTACTCACTTTTTTTTTACATGTTAGATGCACTTGAATAGATTAGAAGCGTTTTCCCCCAATAATCAGGTTTATGAACATCAATAAGGTTATGTTTTTACACAGTTACCGTCTCTCTCTCTCTCTCTCTCTCTCTCTCTCTCTCTCTCTCTCTCCTCTCTCTCTCTCTCTCTCTCTCTCTCTCTCTCTCTCTCACACACACACACACACCCACACACACACCACACCCAAAACACACACAACACACACACACACACACACACACACACACACACACACACACACACACACACACATACTCTCTCTCACTCTCTCTCTCTGCCTATCTATCTATCTATCTATCTCTCTATTTATCTATCTAACCACCTATGTACCTGCTTACCTACCTATTTATCTATTTACCTCTCTCCCTCTCCCTTCTTGCATCTTCCTCTGTCCCTCATTTTCATTGCTATTCCCTTCGCGCTGCTGAGCGAAGGGTCGCCAACCCAGGTGTTCGCTCAGTGGATAAACACAAATAGATTGAATGAATGCTTCCTTCCTCCCCATCCCTATATACACCTTTTATTTCTTCCTCTCCCTCTCTCTCTCTCTCATTCTCTCTCTCTCATTCTCTCTCTCTCTCTTATTCTCTCTCTCTCTCTCTCTCTCTCTCTCTCTCTCTCTCCTCTCTCTCTCTCTCTCTCTCTCTCTCATTCTCTCTCTCTCTCATTCTCTCTCTCTCATTCTCTCTCTCTCTCTCTCTCTCTCTCTCTCTCTCCTCTCTCTCTCTCTCTCTCTCTCTCTCTCTCTCTCTCTCTCTCTCTCTCTCTCTCTCTCATTCTCTCTCTCTCTCTCTCTCTCGCTCTCGCTCTCTCTCTCTCTCTCTCTCTCTCTCTCTCTCTCTCTCTCTCTCTCTCTCTCTCTCTCTCTCTCTTTCTCTTCTCGTTCACTTTGTCTTTCTCTCTACCTCTCTCATTCAATTTGACTTTCTCTCCATCCCACTCATTCTCTTTGTCTTTCTTTGTATACTTCTCCTATTCGTTGTCTTTCGCTCTATCCCTTTCATTCATTTAGGCTTTCTTTTTACCTTTTCCAGTTCGTTGTCTTTCTCTCTATCTCTCGCATTCTCTTTGTCTTTCTCTGTATTCATCTCCTACTCGTTTTCTTTCTCTCTATCCCTTTCACTCCTTTTCTTTTTTCACTCTGTACCTCTCACCTTTTTGGTCGTCTTTGTCCCTCTCCGTCTCTCTGTCTTTCTCTCTCATCTTTTATCCTTTTCTTTATCCCTCTCACTCTATTCACTTTTTATATTTCTCCTTATCCTCGCCTTCGCATTGGCTCCCTTTCTATTCCTCTGCAACTCTTTGTCTTTCTCCCTGTTCCTTCTCCTGTCTCTTCTCCTCTATCCCTCTCCCACTCTTTGTTTTCCTCCCTCTGTCTTCCTCTCTATCCGTCTCTTTTTCTTTGTCTTTCACTCTGTCCCTCTCCCTCATTTTGCATTTCCATGTGTCCTTTTAGGTATAGCGTGCGCGTTTGTATGTGTATGTTTATGCATGTACCTGCATGCATTAATCAAATAGAATTATACACTCACGTTCATCGTTGCCTTCTGCTTTCCCTTAACCATCATTGCACTCTTTCTCCAACATTATTAACACCATTCCTTGATTACTCTCTCTCTACCCTTTTCAACCCCTCGGCAGTTAGCGCCTTCCCCTCCCTTCCCCTCCAATTCCCTCCCTTCCCCTCCCTTCCCTTCCCCTCGCTTCCCTCCCCGCTTCCTCTCCCAACCCACAAGCCATGTCGTAAATTACCATGTAAACGAGAGCAATACCTTCTCCCCTTACTCTTCCTTCATTCTCTCCCCTTTTCTCCCCTTTCCTCCCTCCCCTTACTCATCCGTCTCCTCCCTTCCCTTACTCCCTCCCTATCCCCCCAACCCCACATCCATACCCCACTCCCTATCCCTCTCCCCAACCCCCACCCCTACCCCACTCCCTCGCTGTCCCCCAACCCACACCCCTACCCCACTCCCTCTCCCTCTCCCCCCCCAACCCACACCCCTACCCCACTCCCTCGCTGTCCCCCCAACCCCCACCCCTACCCCACTCCCTCGCTATCCCCCAACCCACACCATTACCCACTCCCTCTCCCTCTCCCTCCCCCCAACCCCACTCCTACCCCTCCCCGCCCTCGCCCCCAACCCCACTCTACCGCACGCCTCCCTCTCCCCCAACCCCCACCCCTTAACCACCAAATCCCTCCCTCTCCCCCAACCCCTCCCAGTCCCCATTCAATATAACAGACATGTGACTCCCATACATAACGGAGATGTACCCCAGTGGGAATAAGCGGTCTACCAGC